TGGTATAAAATAATCATGGGGCAGTATCAGTGTAAAAACTCTGGCAACATGAATAATCACAGTAGATCAACTCCCCCAAGGAACGACATGGCAGACATACCAAAAGATCCCATTCATAAACAAATGGCTGAGATGTTAGAAACTGAATCCAGAATTTGGAGTGCAAATAAGATTAATAGAATGGAGGTAAAGTTGGAATTAGAAATTCAAGGAGCATTTCCAAAGTTGTCTCAGGAATTCAGTGAATTCAAAGACAAATCACCAAAGATTTTGACACATTCAAACAAGAACTTGCAGCCCTCCAAGATATGAGAAATATAGTACAATCTCTCAGTAACAGAATGGAGCAGGCAGTAAACAGGATTTCTGACATTGAAGGCAAAGCTTCTGAATGCTCCCAAATGCTCAAAGAGGAAGAGAAGTGGAGAGCAAAAATAGATCATTCTCTCAGAGAGCTCCGGTATAATTCCAAGAAAACTAATATTTGCGTTAATTCCTGAAGGCAACGAGGTGGCTTCAAAAGGCCCAGATGTACTACTCCATGAGATAATCAAGAGAACTTCCCAGACATGCCAAGAGATTCTGAAATTCAGATAGCGGACAATTTCTAAACCCCAGCACAATTCAACCCAAATAAGACATCTCCCAGACACATTATAATTAATTTTGCCAAAGTTGATATGAAGGAGAAAATTCTGCAAGCAGCCAGACAAAAGAAAACTGTAACCTACAAGGGGAAGACTATTAGAATGACTGCAGATCTCTCTGCTAAAACCTTTGAAGCTAGAAGAGGATGGTCATCATCTTTTAATCTCCTAAAACAAAATAATTTTTAACCCAGGATCCTGTATCCAGCTGAACTGAGTTTCATTTATGATGGAGAAATTAAATACTTTAATGACATTCACATGTTGAAGAAATTTGCCATAACTAAACCAGCTCTCCAGGATATTCTCAGACCTATCCTCCATAATGACCAGCACAATCCTCTACCATCAAAGTAAACTCACTCAGAAACTTTTGATCAAATTACAACTTCCACAGTGGTGAAAGGATTAAAAATATCCAATGGACATTCAAATAACTCAATACAAAAATTCTACCAGGCTTATCAATATTCTCAATTAATGTGAATGGTTTAAATTGTCCTCTAAAGAGGCACAGGATGGCTGACTAGATACAAAAACTCAGGCCAGATATTTGCTGCATACAAGAATCTCATCTTACCTTAAAAGATAAATATAGACTCAGGGTGAAGGGATGGCCATCTATATTTCAGGCAAATGGCAATCAGAAAAAAGCAGGTGTTGCAATTTTATTCTCAGATACAATAGGCTTTAAACAACAAAAGTAAGGAATGATAAGGATTGCCACTTCATATTTGTTAAGGGAAACACTCAACATGATGAAATTTCAATTATTAACATTTATGCAGCCAACCAGAATGTGCCTCAATTTATAAAAGAGACTCTAACAGACATGAGCAACTTTATTTCCTCCAGCACCATTATAGTTGGAGATTTTAACACTCCTTTGGCAGTGCTGGACAGATCCTCCAATAAGAAACTAAGCAAAGAAATTTTAGATTTAAACTTAACCATTCAACAATTAGATTTAACAGACATCTACAGAACATTTTATTCTAACAAAATTGAATATGCATTCCTCTCATCAGCTTATGGAACATCCTCCAAAATTGATGACACCTTAGGCCACAGGTCTAACCTCAACAAATTTAAAAGAATAGAAATTATTCCTTGCATCTTCTTGGACCATCATTCAATAAAAGTTGAACTCAGTAACAACAGGAATCTGCAAATTCACACAAAGACATGGAAACTAAATAATTTTATGCTAAATGATAGCTGGGTCATAGATGAGATTAAGAAGGAAATTACCAAATTTTTGGAACAAAATGATAATGAAGACACGAATTACCAGAACCTCTGGGATACCACAAAGGCAGTCCTAAGAGGGAAATTTATAGCACCGTAAGCCTTCCTTAAGAGAATGGAAAGAGAGGAAGTTAACAACTTAATGGGACATTCCAAGCAACAGGAACCCCAAACCCAGCAGAAGAAAAGAAATAACCAAAATTAGAGCAGAATTAAATGAAATTGAAAATAAAAGGCATATACAACAGATCAATAAATGAAAAAGTTGGTTTTTTAAAAAGGTCAATAAAATAGATAAACCTCTGGCTAACATAACCAGGAATAAAAGAGTAAAATCTCTAATTTCATCAATCAGAAATGGCAAAGACAAAATAACAACAGACTCCTCAGAAATTCAAAAAATCCTTAATGAATATTACAAGAAACTCTATTCTCAAAAATATGAAAATTTGAAGGAAATAGACCAATACTTGGAAGCACACCACCTTTGTAGACTTAGCCAGAATGAAGTGGAAATGTTGAACAGACCTGTATCAAATTCTGAAATAGCATCAACTATACAAAATCTTCCTAAAAAGAAAAGCCCAGGACCAGATGGCTTCACATTAGAATTCTACCAAATCTTTAAAGAGGAATTAGTACCTATATTACTTAACCTTTTCCAAAATATAGAAAAAGAAGGAATACCACCCAGCACCTGCTATGAAACAAACATCACCTTGATCCCCAAACCAGGAAAAGACGCAATAAGAAAAGAAAATTATAGATCAATATCACTAATGAAAATTGATGCAAAAAAATTCAACAAGATCCTAGCAAACAGAATCCAGAAACATATCAAACAAATTATATACCATGATCAAGTGGGTTTTATCCCAGGGTGTCAAGGCTGGTTTGATATACATAAATCTATAAATATAATTCATCACATAAACAAAATAAAAAGCAAAGACCATATGATTCCCTTAACTGATGCAGAAAAAGCTTTTGATAATATCCAGAATCCCTTCCTGATTAAAGCACTTAAAAAAATTGGTATAGAAGGGACATTTTTTGAACTGGTAGAGGCCATCTACAGAAAACCCATAGCCAATATCATATTGAATGGAATTAAATTGAAATCATTTCCACTCAGATCAGGAACCAGGCAAGGTTTCCCATTGTCTCCACTTCTTTTTAACATTGTAATGGAAGTCTTAGCTATCACAATTAGGCAAGAAAAGGTAATCAAGGGTGTCCATATAAGGTCAGAGGAGATCAAACTTTCACTCTTCGCAGATGATATGATTATATATCTGGAAAACACCAGGGATTCTACTACAAAACTATTAGAAGTGAACAAGGAGTACAGCAGAGTCTCAGGTTACAAAATTAACACTCATAAATCAGTAGCCTTTAGATATAACAACAATAGTCAAGCTGAAAAAATAGTCAAGGATCTATTCCATTCATAGTAGTGCCAAAGAAGATGAAATATTTGGGAGTTTAGCTAACAAAGGATATAAAAGACCTCTATAAAGAGAACTATGAAACTCTAAGAAATAACTGAAGATGTTAACAAATGGAAAAACATACCATGCTCATGGCTAGGAAGAATCAACATTGTTGAAATGTCCATAAGCAAATGTCCATTGTTGAATTGTCCAAAGCAATATACAATTTTAATGCAATCCCTATATTAAAGCTCCACTGTCATACTTTAAAGATCTAGAAAAAATAATATTTCATTTTATATGGAATCAGGAAAAAAACCTCAAATAGCCAAGACACTACTCAGAAATGAAAACAAAGCAGGAGGAATCACGCTACCAGACCTCAGATTATACTATAAATCAATAGTGATCAAAACTGCATCATACTGGCACAAGAACAGAGAGGTATATGTACAGAATAGAATAGAGAACCAAGAGATGAACCCAGCTACTTACCATTATTTCATCTTTGATAAGCCAATTAAAAACATTCAAAGGGGAAAAGATTCCCTATTTAACAAATGGTGCTGGGTGAACTGGCTGGCGACCTGTAGAAGACTGAAACTGGACCCACACCTTTCATCATTAACTAAGATAGACTCTCACTGGATTAAAGATTTAAACTTAAGACATAAAACTATAAAAATACTAGAAGAAAGTGCAGGAAAAACACTTGAAGAAATCGGCCTGGGAGAATATTTTATGAGGAAAAACTCCCGGGCAATTGAAGCAACACCAAAAATACATTACTGGGATCTGATCAAACTAAAAAGCTTCTGCACAGCCAAGGACACAGTAAGTAAAGCAAGCAGACAGCCCTCAGAATGGGAGAAGATCTTTGCAAAGATTTAATAACCAGAATCCACAGAGAACTCAAATGTATTAGCAAGAAAAGAACAAGTGATCCCATCTCAGGGTGGGCAAGGGACTTGAAGAGAAACTTCTCTGAAGAAGACAGATGCAGGGCCTACAGACACATAAAAAAATGCTCATCATCCTTAATCATCAGAGAAATGCAAATCAAAACCACTTTGAGATATCATCTAACCCCAATAAGATTAGCCCACATCACAAAACCAGAGAGACCTCAGCTTTGTATTTAGTTTGTGTTTTTCCTTGGGAATGTTCTCAACTTTGGTTTAATAAATCTGCATTGATTTAGATTTTTGCCTCAGTTACTTCTTTGGATCAACATGTATTAAACCAGCTTTCCAAAGGAGACTTTGTGATTATCTGTGCAAACAGAAAATTGTATTTTCATAAAGCCAAGTTTAAAAAGAAGCTCTCTGGTATTTTTACATTGGGCAGATTATTCAATCTATTCACCTGTTTGCACCATACACCCACGTATACCACATAGACACACACACACACACATTCAAGAGACCTGATGCATAAAATAGTATTGTTATAAATGAGATGCAAACCAAGAGTGGCCTGTATAGGATACAATGTTATGAAATCATTAACATTGCATTTTGTACGTTTCTGTCCAAGCATCACTGCATTGTTTATCACATGACAAGAAGTAAATCAGAAACACAACACCCAACAAACCAAGACTTAAAGGGTCCAAGGAAAGGGCTTGCAAAACATAGTCCTCAAATACTCTAGACCGGTACAAGTTACTTACCTGTGAATGTGAATTTTAGGAAGACAGAAGAAACTATAAACTTCACTGGAGAGTCAAAGGGCTTTCCAACCTTTTCCAACCTCACTGTTCAAGTGCTGAACAGAAGTCAAGCTTTTTCTAGAACATTATCTATTTGCTAAAGAGTCAATGCCCTGAAGGCCAATCTAGGCACAGTTCAGTGACATCTGAGGAACACAGGGTGTACTCGGAAAATCCTCAGAGGGTGTCAACAGGCTTTGGAAAGTGCTGATTCACTTTGGAAGGAGAGACAGAACGAGCAGAGGGTGCCCAGCCAGAGCCCCCAGATTCTGGCTATGCCCAACTCTTGTTTTCATAGGTCCTTGGTTTTGAAAAGTTAATTTAAAACGTAACCAGACATACCTATAACCTTTCCCCCTCCATATAAAAGATTACTCTTGGAAAATCCTCAGTTGCAGGCCCTAGTGTTCCTGTTCCAGCCCTAAGGTTTTGTGGAAAAAATAATGTAATAGAACGCCTGAAATCGCCTTTGCTCTGAACTCTGAGTGCACCGATAACCCTTGATCTCCAGCCTGAACAGTCAACAACCTCAGGCTCTGTCCACCAGATGAAGCTGTGTATGAGCAGAGATTAATAGTTTCTGTTAAAGATTCAAATTAACAGAATCTCAACTTAAATAGGCACAGAGAGAGCTTCTCCAAGGGCTTTGCGCTGCCTGCATCTCCTCCTCTTCCTTCTTGTCGTTAATCTTTTCATTTTTCTCAAAATGCTCCATTTTCTCTCTCTCTTCTTGCCTGAGTTAACACTTTCCTGAGTGCACCTCCTGATGGCCTTCAGCAAGGAATAATAACAGGTGACATTGGCCAAGCCTTTATAAGGTGCCTGGTCCGCTTGAAAAGTGCTGTTTGTATCACTTTATTTGAACTGTTGCTTCTCCACAGCTTCAGGTGCTCCGTGCTGTCATCAGCATTTCCAGTTTACAGCTGGGGAAGCTGAGACACAGAGAGGCTAGGTCAGTGATTTTCAACCAGTGTGCTGAGGCACACTGCTGTGCTGTGAGAGGATCTTAGGTGTGCTGTGAAAAGTTTTAAAGATCATTAATTAAATTATTGTCAAAAGGAGTTCAAAGCACAGTAAGTATAGTCTCTTTTTTACTCTTTTTTTTTCTGATCAGCATAATTTAAGTATGCCATAGAAGTTTAACTATAGGTTCAAGTACGCTGTGAGATGAAAAATGTTGAAAAACACTGGGTTAGATAATCCACCCTATACAACTATCGGTATAAAGCAACAGAGCAGTCTACGCTAACCTTCCACCCTGTGTTCTGAAATGTAGTTGATAGGCCAGTACTTCTCAGTTTGCAGAAAATAAATTATAAGATCAAATGTTCTCAATTTTCAGTTTCTCTGCCATAAACTTTCTTGTAAATTTCAGCATCCACTACTTTTTCTCTACTAGAACCTATGTATAAGATGGTTTATGACCTAGCCTATAAACCAATGCATTTGTGACTCAGCCCATAAAGCTAAAAATTATAGCATATAATTTTGTATATCACATTTATATGTTAAAATATCAGTATGTCAAGGTCAGCAAAAAAAAAAAAAAAAAAAACCCAAGATTTCTAGATGTTTCCCTAGAAGTCCTGGGATGGGTTGACTCCTGAGGCAACACAAATGTGATCATATTTGGCTTGGCACCAGTTGGGACCCAGGAAAAAGAACTCTGCTTTACACAAAACCAAAAAGGCAGCACAGCTGTTGGGTTGTAGCTTTCATTGGGAAATAATTCTCAATAGAATTTTAATACTTTTGTTGTGTTGAAGTTATTGACAACAGCCAAATTAAAAATGCTTAGGAGAAAACTGCTCACAGGTTCTGGGGTCCTAAGATTTCTCATCTGGTAACATGTAGACCTAGAGGAAGGTAAGCATAGGATTCTAGAGTTAGATACAACATTGAAGATATTTTATCCAATAACCTCATCTTACAGATGAGAAAAGTGAGGTCAGAGTGGCGATCTGTTCTGAGCTCCCAGAGGGTTGGTGGTAGCTCCCTTGCCTTTCACTCTGGGCCCTAGACACACCCGACAGAGGGAAGACTGAGTGGCTCATTCCCGTTTCACTTCAGCCGTGGGTCAGTCTTCCTTAGGGTTCAAGTCTGAAAACAGGTAGAGTCGTGGTCCCTATAGTCATCCCAGTAAAACATCAACTCTATTTTGAGTGCTTATGTGCCAAGCACTGTTCTAACCTCTGGGATACAGAATGAGTAAGATAGATGAGAATCTCTGCCTGCCTTTAGGAATCTTATATCCGGGCTAGAGGTGGGGACAGAGAGGAAACAAGTAAAACATATACTATGTTGTGACATGTATGATACAGAGAAAAGCACTGTGGGACAGGGATATGGTAGGGAGTGTGTGAGAGAGTGTGTGTAAATGTGTGGGGGGAGGAGGATATTGCCATTCTGAAACAGGTGATCAGAGAAGGGGTCACGGAGAAGGTGGCATGAGGAATGATCTGAGCAAGGTGAGGGAACAAACATATGAGTATCAAAAGCCCCAGGGCAGGAGCACAGCTGGTGTGTTTAAGGTTAGTCTTGCTGGAGGGGATTAAGCAAGAGAGAAAGTAGATGCTGGTGTGTGATAGTGGTGGGACTAGGGAAGAGGCATGACCTTGTCAGGCAGCGGCCCTCCAAGAGTGGTTCCTGAACCAGTAGATCACCATTATCTGTTAGAAGCCTAGATTCTTGGGCTTTATGACTGAATTAGAGACTCTAGGGGCCAGATTTGCTAAAGCTTGAGAACCACTATATAGGGCCTTGGAGGTCACTGTAGACCAATTTGAGCCCTGTTTTAAAATCCAAAAAAATGCTTCAGAGAGAGCTCCAAATCACAAAGGTAGAATTCAGTCAGCAGTTGTTTTGAAACCGTTGTTCTAGGGCGAGGCACACATAGAAGAGGCGAAAGAAGTGGCCATTATTTTACTCTTTGAACCCTCCATAACTAATAACTGAACCTCTTCTATTTGCAAGATGCTATGTCAGGTGCTGTGCTGGTTACCAAGTTGTGCACATAACAGTCAGTGTCCTTGGGAGAGTTGAAGCCTTAATGGGTAGGTAAAGCTTAGCACATCAAGCAAGTAAAACAAGATAAACAGCAAATATTATAAGGTTCCTGGCAGACATTAAGTATTTAAAAAGTGACACGTTATTGTGGACAGGAGTCAGCAGGGGAAGATTCTCAGAAGAGGGAAGATTTGAGTTATACCTCAAAGCACGAGAAGGACCAGGGCACAAATTCAGCGTGAGAAAGTTTGTAGAACACACGTGGGCAACATTGAGAAGAACAAGGTGGCTGCTGAGAGAAGAGGCTGGCAAGTGAGCTCAGGCAGAGGAAGACAGGCGGAGAAGGGCTTCCAGTGCTAGGAGGCCCAGTCACACACAGTCTGAGACTGGAACTTCAATCCAGGGCCAGGCAGGGCCAATGATTGCAAAGCCGAGGCACAGGAGGGGGTGGCTTGGGCAGAGGGTCTTTCCTGTGTACACCAACCGCAGACTCTTTGGCTTGCTTCTTACCATCCAGAAAAGCAACATACTAGTGAAAAGCCAGTTTGAGTCAGTTGTCATGATACAATTGGCTACGTATTTTTGTGGCATGGAGGCGAGCAGAGAGAAAAATGTCTAAATTAGAACTTCCTTGGAAGCTTTTGTGTTTTCAAGCAAGCTGAGTGGAAGGATACAGTTTCTGTCATTTAGTTCATGCAGAAGGTGGCAGAATGGTATAGTGAAAAGAGCAGGGATTTATAGGGTCACAAAAGAACTGGCTTCATATCCTGGTATCTGGGTTCTGCCACCTACTTGCTAGGTGATTTATTAATAGTTAAGGTGATACTTCCTAATGATGTCTCTCTCATATAAAGTCCAATAGACTTGAGAGAGGGGAAGGTGGTGGCAGGGGAGGGTGGTCTCTCTGTTGGATGTAGTCATTCAGGGATGCAGGCTGACAGATTATCTGCCATCCTCAACCTGTGGCTTTCAAGACCTCCTTGGACATTGACATCTCACCATCCCACAGGGAAGAGAAAATATGGAGTAGCTGTGTGTGAACAGCTTCCATGGACCAACCCTATGAATAGCATTCCTTCCTTCTGTCCATATTCCCTTAGGCAAGGCTCTGTCACATGGTCACACCTAACTGCAAGAGAGATGAGGTTGGCTCTGTGCCCAGGAGGTTTGGTTAGAAGCTAGCCAATCTCAGGAAACAGGCTTTGGAATCACAAAGATTTGCGTTCACTTACTAGCTATGTGACATTTGGCAAATTATATACTCTTCATTAGCCTTGATTTCTTCGTCTGTAAAATAGAAATGGGCATGTCACAGGGTAATGGGGCCTGGATAAACCTCCCTATGCCAAAGATTCTGGGCAAAGCTGAAGCTGGTGGGAAAGTGCTTTGGATGTGGAGGAAGAGCCGGATTTCCAGTATGAGTGCCACCACCCAGTGGATCTGATGCCCACTAAGATGTAGGTTTTAATTCTGAGTCCGAGATTTTAGTCTGTATGGATGGCATGTGGACAGAACACCCCAGACCTAACCTCTCCAAACCACCACCTTAATCACATTCTACAGGCATGAGTTTGACTGGCTCTGCCCTAAAAAAAAAATAAATAAATAAAGTTCAGCAGTGCCTGTGGCTCAAAGGAGTAAGGAGCCAACCCCATATACTAGAGGTGGTAGGTTCAAACCCGGCCCTGGCCAAAAAAAAACTGCAAAAAAAAAAGTTTTGCTGGGAGGTTTTTTTCTATCCAGGCAGATTTTACATTTCTTGGCTTTTGTGTATCTCAAAACTTTTGTAATGACCCATGTATTTTGTAGTGGTGGAGTGTGGGCTTTTGATGTGTTCATGACCTGAGTAGTATACATTTTACCCCTTAAGTAATTTTCCAGCCCTCACCCTATCTCATCCTCCTGAGATTTTTTAAATGAACTTTCTCACTCTCATTCTATCTGGTCAAGAGGTCTCCATGATGCTGGATAAGGTATTGACAATCCTGAAACAGAAATCCTTCCTCATAAGTCAATCATATCCAAAAAAGATTTGACTGGGGCAGTAGCTCATGCCTGTAATCC